TATAAAATATATAATTAAAAGAATTACTAATCTGGGTATAATTAAGGAAATAGAAGTTGATGTTGCTTTTGTAATTATCCATCAATGTTTTAAAATTAAACACTATCTACAGATTTGCATCGAAGCGTTTCTTATGATAGTGATTTTAATCACTGTCAGATTAAATCTATACTGGACCAACTATGCCGCGACCCCACTGTGCTGGGTTTTTATTTTTAATTAATATTTTTATTCATAATAATAATTATAAATATTATGCATAAATTTACTATTTTTTTTCAAATACATGTTACAAAAAATCTGTTGCTTATTGGAGTTAAAAAAACCCAAAATAACATATCATTTTTTAAATAAATATGAAAAAATATTGAGCGAAAAAATACAAAAAGAATTTTATTAAAATACAATGTTACAACATAAAAATATTACCTTCATTTAAAAAGTAGAACCATTGAATGTGGATTTAAATTACATAATTCATTTGTTACATTAATAAATTAATCATATCAAATTTAATTATTATTTTTATTTGAATTAACTATTTTTGTTGGTTAAGTATTTTTAAATGTATATCAAAATAAAAATGAATGTTACATTAATTGTTATGGTTACCAAATATGTAACTATACAATGTTTTAGCATGAAAACTTTAAATGATAATTCATCTATAAAAATACAACTCAACAGCCTACATTATAGGAGTATTTAACTTTTGAAAGTTAAATGAGAACCTATTATTTTATTTCATTATTGAATTTTATAATTATTGAATTATTATTCATTTTATAAATGAAGTATAGTCTAAATAAATTGTGTAATTTTTTACTCATCAAAGCGTTTTACAATAAAGATTTCAATCACTGTCAGTCATCAATCAATATTAATCTAAAGAAATGTCTTTTCTTCACTTTAGCAATTATCTGATGTGCCTATATTTATTTTTCTTGTCAATAAAATTTTTCATAATTAAATACTATGATCGTACATATAAACTTTTAGTATTTGACAAGGTACACTTCAAATATGGATCAACATAATCTAAATAGATTTTCAGTAACTTATTTATTAAAAACAATTGTATTATAATTATATAAAATAATTTTTTGTTAAGGGTTGTTATTTGAAGTAATACTAAGATAGAGTTTCCAAAGCAGATGTAATTATTGAAGGACTACCAAATAATTAAATTGAAAGAAAATATTGGTGTAGAATAAAATAAAATAATTATTTTTATTGTTTTTATCTTATGTTAATTAGTTTATTACCACGGTTATTATTGTTAAACTTTTAAATTGAGACTAAATAAAACTAAAGACTAAACCATTAATTGTATAGAAAAATTTCAGCAGACTAAAATAGTTTGCTTAACAACAATAAACATAAATAATCAAAACCTTTTTAAGAATACACGTTTTAGAAAATAGATTCCAATGAACTGAAAGATCTTTGACTTTGTCTCAGCTACTAATAAAATATATAGAGTACATTTAATACATATGTTATCTACTTAAATTATACTTGATGAAGTAAATTGTTTAAAATGTGATATCTAGTAGAATTTTTAATTTAAAAAGATTGTCATGAAAATAGAGAAAATTTTTTTAAATATATGTCATTAAGATCATCAAATAATTTTGGATTGTGCAGAGGTAACTGATTAAGGCATACTACACCAGTGTTCTTTTTGTTTATTTTTTATTCATCTTGATTTTTTCAGGATATAAAAAATATATACATATACCAATATACACAAATATGTACTTGAATATTACATGTAAAATTAACTTATGGAAATAGCATATTTACCATAATTGTCTTGGATAAAAGTAGGGGGGTCTTCAATCTTCCTAGAACTTTTTTTTTGGTTGTAAGTAGTTTCTTCTAACTGTGATAAGTCACTAGTGTCCTGTGCTACTCTATGTTTGGCTTTAAACATTTTAATTTATCAACAGCTTTTGGATTATAATAATGAATTATTATAATCAAAGAAACTGTGGTATNTTTGATTAAAATCAAATATCATAATTTAATTCAGTTTATTTGATTATAATAATGAATTATTATAATCAAAGAAACTGTGGTATAGGTGTTATATAAACAAAATGTATTCTTGTAATTTTATATATATTTATGGGTTATAATAAAATGGTAGTTTATGATTAAATTGAATGCATAAGTGGCACAACTATAAGTTCATTTTTACAAGAAAACACAATAACTTTAGTCTTAATTGTATCAATATTCCAACATTTTAAACTAGTTGATAAATTATTGATAAAATATATTCCTGAATGTGATGATTTGATAGGATATTTAAAATAATCTTTTTTGTTCAAATTCTTTTCAATTAAAATGATTTCTCCATTATCTGAAGAATAGGCAATATTTAATAGTTTTACAATTTTATTAGTCTTAGTACAAAAATAAAAATCAGCATCACTCTTGCACTTAAACTTGTAATTTTCAAAATTTAAGATATACTGAGAATTAGTAGTGATATTTTCAATAAGAAAACCTCTTAAATGTTGACCTATTAATTTGTCTGTAATAACACTTTTATGTGCATTTAAGTTAAAATTTTCACCTTCAGTATACCTTTTAATAATTTGCTCTGAAGGCTTATCAGGTTTTTGTAGCATACCTTTAAGTATATTCATATCATTTTTAAACATAAAAGTACTGCAATTGTCATGAGGGCCATATTCACAATATTGAAAACAGGACATGTTTTTAATTCGTTCTCCTTCAATTTCACAAAGAGTACAAGAATTATATCGCATATAAGACAAAAGATCTAGCTGGCATATCACAGCAAATAACATCTTGTGTAAAATTGTAAATTTTATTTTTATAAGTTAAATTGTCAAATGTTAATTTTCTTTACAGATATTAGTGACATTAGAAATATTATTGCTTAGAGTAGATTGAGGTTCAACATTTTAAAACACACTAGAACTACAAGATTGCTAAAAGCACTCAAACTCTTCTTTCCTCTTTCTTCTCTTAGACGATCACTTAAAAACTCATCCATAGTATACAAACAATTAAAATTGATAAAATTAGAAAGTACTAATAAGGGAATCTGACTGATTTATGTAATCAGATATTTTTAATAAAATATTGAATTAAATATAATTTAAATGATTTAATTAAATTATCAAAAATATTATGAAATAAAATAATATATTTAGCTACTTATCAAGTTATTACAAACTAAAATATTTTTTATAAAGAGTAAAAGTTAGCGTTGCGCTGAGAATCACTAACATGAAAGTTACACAAACCCTGATGCCCGCGCAACTCTTATCAGTCGTACCCTTACTTGTGTAAACACACGTGCGATATTTCAATGGTACAAAGTCCAAAATGACCGCGGGCTGGTTGTTGCTGACAAAGATATATCAACGATGTAACAATGGCGATTGGGTCATTGATACATCGTTCTGTCTGAATCTCTACAGTTTTGACTACACCACGGAACAACCTATAAAATAATTATTTTATTTTGGTCTAGCAGGTTAACCTGCTAGACCACAGTATTTGTGATTTTCACTCTAAATTAAACTCTACGATTCCTTTACTAACATATTTGTTTAATAAATTTATCAGTGTAGGCCTATAGTAATTATATAAAGTGGTGTGACGAACTGTCCTACGAACATTAGGTGCCAGAGGCGTGCGGTCAAGGCATAATTAATTATATAATATACAATATTTATGTATATCAAAAACCAGATTTTTTGTGTGCTCCACGGATTGTCACACCAAATACAATGATACCGATTTGTGTGTTTTGTCATTGGCGGTACGATCGCCGCATCGCGACTGCAAAATAGTGTAGATCGGTCAGGCGGTCAAAATTTTTTATTATTTTTAACATTGGGAAGTCGGAAAACCAACTTATACATATTACAACAAAACTGAATATATCAAATTTATCTTATTATTTTACATTAGAATCCTTATAAAGGATTGAGATCAACCACTTTTTGATTACTATAGAAATACTATAGTATTTCTTAATTTTATTTATTTATTTAACATATTTATTTTATTTTATTTTTTAGTAATTATTACATACCTGGTTGTAATGGTTACTAAAAAGTAAAATAGCAATTAAATTTTTTTTTACATTTATGTAGTGTTCGAACGCACCATAGTACGACTCGCCACTGAAATGTATTATTAACTTTTAAACAAATAACGTGTATTGGGTATATCAAACAGTTTAAATTATAATTATTTAAATGGCTGTAAACAGTATCGTACAAAATTTTTTTCTTTTTTTTTTACATATGTAAAAAAAAAATCACTATATTATTGCAAATAAAATATTTTAAAACGTTTAACTGATACTGTTATTTTTATATTAGAAATATATCGTTAAAAAAAGACATTATTTTAATATATTAAAAATGTACGATATTAAAAATATTATCATAATATTAAACAAGCATTATTAATTTTGTAGTGTAATTGTATTAATATAATAATATTATTATAACAGATTTGCTATCTGGGTATGAATGCCAATAACGTTTTTTAACTTCGATGTGAAGCCGAGAAGGCAGTGGTTGTTTTTACTTTTAAAATATTACTTTTTTAAGATCTTATATATGCCAAGAATTCAAAATATAGTTTTATCAATTAAATAAATAACCATTTTCAATAAAATAATAATGAAAGTAACATTATTTATAATTATTTAATCAATATATGAATAATGAAAAATATTTTGTCTTTAAATCTCAAAATTATTATAATTTAGAAGAAATAATGTTGTTAACAATGAATTAATCAACCTGTATATACAATATAAATATAATATAAATGTATTTTTACCATGAATTTCATAAAATGTTAAAATTAATAATTTTAAAAGAGTGACAGTCATGTTTAAAAATGAAAATAATTCAAATAATATGGTTCTGAAAATGTATGTTAATATTATATTTTTAGACTTCATTCAAATATATAAAACAGTTAATACAATTCAGTGTCTGATATTACATTTTTTTATTTTAGTATATCAATAATTTAAAAAAATTATACATTATGATTTATGAAAAACTATTTTTTGTTACATTGATTATTTGTCTTCCAGAATTTTCTAAGGTAATTTTTTTTGATTTTATTTTTGACTAAGTAAAATATCGTGCAGTATATAAACAGAATTAAAATTTTTAGTTATTAAAAACAAATTGACATTTTATAGTATACAAAAAAACTGCATTACTTAGTTAAATCTATAATTAATTATTTAACAAAATTATCATAGTCCACATTTCGATGCGAAACTGAAAAAGCTTTAATTTTATCATAAAAATAGTAAACATCATATTATGTTTTTTATGTTTCTTTGGTTTATTCCTACTGGAACGACTTTGTTCTACAATTCTTCTCAATTCCCGTATTAAAAAAATATTACAATAAATTATAACTGTATTAAAACTGTCTATGTTAATATTTATAGTCTTCATTTAAATATTCCAAAAAATNAAACTGTCTATGTTAATATTTTTAGTCTTCATTTAAATATTCCAAAAAGTTCTTGAAACTTATATCAAATTTAATATAATGTACTTAAAGATTAAAATTTTAAAAATAATATGAATAACAAATCCAGACTGTCTAGAAATTAATTAACTTTACTATAATGATTCTCTGAAAATTTGGGCTATGTATGCATTATCCGGTTCTTTTGTCAACTTAATATTAATCAATAAGATTAAAATAATGGTATTATATTGTTTTCGTGACTTATATGTTAAAGAAAATAGAATTCATAAAAAATATTAAGACTAAAATGTGATTTGCTTATCAAGTTATTAGGATAGCACGACTAAATGAGCGTTGTATTTCAAAATCCCAATTAATATTATCAGAACAATCTATAAGCTTCAAACATTTTTTTGTAGATCGAAAAACCTATATTCAGCTCTTAACTAATAAATTATGAATTTTAATTACAACTTTTTTTTAAACGAAACATTCAGAGTAATTTCCACAATAATCTCAAAAATAGATATATAATTGAAACAAAAAAAAAACTAAAATATGATTTGTAAATCTATATTAAAAACTAACTTTTCCATTGATTTTACATAAATGTTAAAATTTTTCAATAACCACTATAAATTTTATTATTAACATTCCAAAAAAATCATTTTACAGCCATTATCATTTGTCATTGAAGAAATAAAAAATGATGATATCACTCAAGATTTCGTTTTAATGCTTAATCAAATTGAATCTATAGTAAGTCCAATTTTATTTCCAGAAAAAGCTCTAAGTCTATTTGATGAAGAAGAGGTTGATGCTTTATTAAATAAAACCACTAAGATTCCGCGTAGTATTATTGAAAAATTAAACCTCTTTAGAAATATTACAAAAGCTGAACAGCTGAGCATAGAAAAAAAATTAAACGTGAAAGAAAAGTATGAAAACAAAATAATATCACTGCAATGTATTAATTTTTTAATTTTAAATGCTATTATCTGGAATGTAAAAAATTCATTGTTAATTAATGAAATGCCAAATCCAGATAAACTAGAAATTTTTGAAAAATATAAAATGTATTTATCTCGTATGTTGTCTATATTATATTATGGCCGTATTAGAGCCAATAGATGGCAAACTGAATTATATACTATATTGGTCAACATAGCAGATACAGAGAGGAATGAAATTATAATGAAAATAAAATTTATAAAAAATTCACTTTGGCAGGAAATTGATAGTAATGTTAATATGTGTATAAAGAAAAATTTTATTCCGAAACATGACAGACGATTAACTAAAGATGAATTTTACAGTTCTTATAAAGTTTTTGACATCATCGAACAGTTGTATAACAATGAAGAAATGAATCGAGGATATATTTATGAAAAAATGTTTAGTATNCCGGGGCTATATTTATGAAAAAATGTTTAGTATGGAAAATATGATGTTGTACTTTTTACAAGATCAGTATAAATTAATTTTTGGACAAATGGCTATTGGAGAAATAGATTTGCAAAATAATATGAATGACATGGAAAAATTGAACATATATATTAACACGATTTATAAAAAAAATGAATGGATCATCGAACCATCTCGTATAAAACTAAAATATCATTTAATGTTTCAAGAAATTGTGTTTACACATATTTTGCGGTATATCTTATTACATATGCAGCAATTTTTTATTACTTTTAGTACTTGGACAGCGATAAATTGTTGTCGCGAATGTTCGTNTATTACTTTTAATACTTGGACAGCGATAAATTGTTGTCGCGAATGTTCGTCAATACAAATGTCAATTTATCAATATAGAAATTTATGGCTTCTTATTGTGGAACCACTAAAAGATGCTATTGAACTATTAGGTTTCAAGGATACTTTGTTAAATGCAATATTGATGCTTTTTAAGAACAATTCATTAAACCAGTTTCAATTTCGCACATTATGTTATCAAGTTAAATTTTTACACAGACGTTGTTTACATAATCTACATGTTCGAATGAGAAAATCAGAGTATCAACTCCATTATGCCAGACCATATGATAACTTAGACGAATTTACTATTCAAAGAAATATCAGTAAATTTGTAAATTATATTAAAGAAGTTAAGACTTCATTAAAACCAATCAATAATAGTTTATTCTTTATTAGGTTTTTATACCAAGACGTATTGCATAAATATAGATTTACATTTTTACCATTAATTGAAAAGTATTATGCATAATGAATGATACTTGCAATTTTATATTATGAATTTATACAATATTTATATTAAAAAAAAAAAATCAAATAATGTATTCCAAATTTATTCTTATCTTACATACAATAAATATCGGTATTATTTCATTATAATTTAATATACTTGTATTATTATCAGATAATTTCACATTTCATATTTATCAAACAAACAATACATAAACATAGAATTGTGTAAATTAAAAGGAATTAACCTGGCTTTATTTAATTTTTTTTTTTAATTTTAATTTTTATCCACTTTTATTGCTTAGATGCAAAGCTAAGAAGGTATTAATTTTACCATGATGTGTTTATTATGTTTATATGTGTTTTTTTGTGTCTGTCAAAACTTTTTCTCGGCTTTCAGTTGACCGATTTTTCTAAACGATATGTCAAAAGATCACAAACCGTATACAGTCGAAGACATTATGCTCAAAAATTGAAAATATTACCGTAAATGATAAAAATCTCCCAAAAAATTACGATTTTTTAAACTCTTTTTTCCTTAAAATAGCTATAACTTTTTGAAAAATGAACGAAACAAAATAATTTTTTTCATTTTGAAACCTTAGGTATTTTCCTTCCATTTGATATAATTTTTTTGAAAATTTGACCCTTTACCTGCCCTCAGGGGAGTGTTCAAAATAGCAATTTTTTGATTATAAGTTTTGAAAATGTTCCGGAAATAATTCGAGCTTCAACATACATGTTAAAATAAATTTTATGTTATGTACCCAAGTTCAAAAAATAAATCGTCTCTACGACTTTTCTTCTGCGTACAAACAACAGTCGTAGTTAAAAACATGCTATTTGTATTCAAATTTTTTCTTTTTTTTTTTTAAAATAAGGGTTTTCCATAGTAATCAGGCCACCGATTTTTTTATTACGTGAATTTAACTTACACTAAATATAAATTTTAACTTATTTTGAATATTTTGTCTTCTCTAAGTTAAAAACGGTAGCACAGTGGTGACATAGTTGGATCAAGTATAGATGATATCTGACAGTGATTAAAATCACTATCATAAGAAACGCTTCGATGCAAATCTGTAGATAGTGTTTAATTTTAAGAAATTGAGAGGTTATTTCAAAGCAACAATAACTATTAATTCCCTTAATTTTATCCCGATTAGTTCTTTGATTTTAAATTATAATATATGAATAAATAATAATTATAATAATTAAATTTAGTATTAAATTGATATTGAATAATTTAATATTGCAACTTTTACAGAAATATTATAAAAATAATAAAGTAGTAGTATTTTTCTTTACCTATAACGCGTATAAAAATTTAAAGGGCTTGATGCAATACTTTTCAATAAAAAATTTTTATTACTTATAACAAAATTATAAGTTTTATACAAGGAACTTTCAACAAAAACAAAAATATACTTTTCTAAATCAACTTTTCTCGATGTTTTCAAATGTGCAATTAAACTTTTTCTATCAATTCTAAGTTTTAATATTATTAATTGTTATTAAAAAATAAGTATTAATATAAAAAAAAAAATAATTAGAAATAAAAAAAATTGTTTTAAATTAATACTGATTTGATTATTATTAATATGTTAAAAACAAGGAAAATGACATTTTTAACATATATTTTTAATCGTTTAAAATTGATTTTTGTGAATGTTTATATAACAAAAAAAAATATTTAATCGATTAAAAAATATTTAATATTTAGTATTTATAGTAAATTTATCAGAGTAGCTCAAATTTGTTTTGCATTTTTATCGTAATAGATAACTTAAATAGAAATAATAGTAATCATTTCCTAGTAACTTTTGGTGTTTAAAAAGATTCTGCAATTGAAATATTCAGAACTTAATTAATTTTAATGGTAGTAGGTGTGTAAAGTATGAGCTGGATACCCCCCTAACCCACATGTTGTGGGTTTGTCCTGCCATAGGTAGACGGGAGGTGTAAACGACCTGAGGGATATGGTGAAAGGTCGATGTTGCTCGTTCCTAGATAGCGTTTTGTTATACCATGGTACATGTATAGTTACCTTGATACATGCATAGTATACCTAGGTGGATGGAACATCATACAGTATACCTTTATATATTATAAAAAATTTGAGGGATTTTGAAAATTGCATAATTTTAGAAATATGTGAAAATATTTGAATGCAGAAAAGTGAAAGGTGTAATCAAGCGGCAACAGTGGCTATTTTTTTTTCTCTTCATTTCGACTTGATGTGGACCGCCCTAGAACTGCCGTGAGGCATTGCTTCAGGGCGGACCACGTCGCCTAATGTTCTCTCACCACCGCGCTGAGATACGGCCCAAGTTTACACCTAAGCCGAATCCCAGCACGGCGTAGCCTCCCCCGTTAGCCGGACCCCACTAAAGGGTCCGTTGCCCGGGTTGGACCACGTGGAGGTAGGGGTAGGCCATCTTTCCTCTTGTTGGTCGGATTTAGAACCCGACCTTCTTCTTTTCTGCTACTTCCAGGGCAGTCTTTGGAAACATGCCCTTCCTACTTGCACCTGAAGCAGTCCTTCGACCGGTCCGGTCCCTTGCACGCGTGGGCAATATGCCCACGTTCCAGACACCTGTAGCACTGAGGACCCTTGTAAAGAATCCTCAATCTATAGGACGTCCACCCAACCCGGACGCGATGAGCCATCTTGAGGGGCACCTTGCATTTCGCATACCGCCCTTTACCGCATACACCCCTTTATGGCCCCAGGGTAGCGTATCGTGACTGTTTGGTATTTGATATCACTTATCATCCTTAAATTCTAATGCAATTTTATTTATTTTTTCGATGAATAATTTTTTTGATGCTTGTATGAACGAAAAACATACATGCTACGTCAAATTTTAAGATCGTGAAAACTTATATAATTAAAATAGTCATTTTCACTTATTGTCTCATTAAATACCCTTTTTTTCAATCTTTACAACACCGCATCATGTATGTATTACTGCTTATTCCAGTATATTTGTTTAAAATTTTACCTCCCATTTAATCTTTCATGAGTCCTACAACTTTTTTGTTAACAAGCGGTATACCATACACAATGTTGGGCTCATAGTTTGATATGTCGAATTTTTCAATATTTTTTTTGGCATAATCGTACACATCTACTGTTTATATTTCGTAAAATAGAGAATCAGTATTCGTGTACAACAACTTACACTTGTTTCCGTATATTTTTTTCATAAAATTATAGTGGAAATCGTATATGATAGTTTTGTAAATTTCCAATACTGAAAAACCAACGTAAATCGGTTTATCATATACAATTTAAAATTTTTTTTAACGGATGGCTGCCATATTGCTATCAAATATTGCGGCACTATCAAATTTTGGTTTAGATATTAACACACTTGCCCCGTATCTTTTACCAATATTTTCCCACTTGGTTACTATTTTCACATCTATTATTTTTTCTGAGTTTCCAGACATTTACCTTATCTACTGTTGATCATAAGTTTAAAAAATTCAATTTCGAAAGCCGACTTGGCTTTCATACGTTTTCTCGTATTCAAATCTATATACGCCTTCATCCAAGTCGATTGTTCGAAATTTAGTGCTTTATTTATCTTTTTTATCTTCAAACCCAAGCTAATGCCCTGTTTTAAAGTCCAATAGTGAATATCATAATTATTTTTATCATTTAAATTTGGAATTAATTTTTTAATTCAGGACATAACGGTAAGTTAGAATGGAGTTCATGTAAATGCTCACCATACTCTAAATCGACATTTAATATAATCCCTCAATCACTATCATCTTTAATTTTTGTTACATCTAATTCATCGATTTCTGATTGTTGTAACCATTTAAAATTTCCAAGTGGAAGGTGTTGTTTTAGCGCAGCTTCATATAGATTGTTGGCATCGACATAAAATAAATATTTTGACGGTTTCGACGAATCATAATTATCGCGATATTTATTACCAGCTTTACTATAATGTGATACGCATTTTGATACTCCACCACGAATCCCATTATTAATAAAACTAATCATCTCGATGTCCGTCATCAGATCTAATTTTACCCCGGTAATTCGTTTCATAGCATCAAACTTCAATCCCGGAGTAGTGATATAATAACAAGGATCAAGCCCACAATTAACTAAACACATTTTTCTAAAATTTTCAAATATATCAGCCAAAAGAAACACATTAGTTTTTAAGTATAAGTCTGAATAATTCCCTAATGTTGAACAATTAAATTTTTCCCAAACTTTTTTTGCATGGGCGTAATCCTTGTTTGATATATTACACATATTCAAAATACTACAAAATGAAGATTTTAAGGGGTGCATGCATTCATTCAGAACATTCATATCAGTCACATACTCGTAAGGGAATACACCCTTACAACAGAATAACTTGAATTCATCATCATTCGTATGCATTCTCCTAGTTATGTTAAATTGATCAGGGGATAAAGTTTCAGCTAATTTTTCAAGAGAAGATAGTAAAAAGTTTAACGAATCTATAAATTTTAATGCAGTCGCTTATTATTAGATTTTTTATTATTATTTATTTTTTTATTACTTTTTTAATTGACATACATTTTTCATTTGTTTTAGCCAGAACTTCAATCCCCTCGTCGCTATCGCCAAAACCTAGATTTGATATAATAAAATGCGATTTATAGTTCTGCATATTATGCATAATTACTGGGACAAATGAGGGAACCGAACATTTTAGGTTACAATCTCTATGCGATGCGCCACGACATCTCCCCGTTAAGTGACAATGATCGAAAACCTTTTCATGATGCCGTAATTCACCGTAACAAATGTGACACTCAGTTGTTATGTAATGATCATGTTGTTCTTTTAAAAATAATGATAACATAGGCAAGGGATTCGAGTAAATGTCACTTATACGGTTTATATCGTTTCTAAATCTATCGATAAACACCTTAGCACAATTTTCTCCACGGTATAACTCCATGCAATCCAAATTTTCATCGTATGAACATTTAATGAAATATGAAAAACTATGAGGTTCGTGAATATTGATTTTATTTGAAAAAGATTCTGCAGGATTTGAATTGCATGTAGCTATAGGACCTTAGGTTTCGTAAGATTTACTTACCCCCTTCGGGTGCCGAATGAGGGTTGAAAATCCACTGAATAGGGTGGTTTTTTAGTTTTCGGCTAATATCTCAACAACAAAAGCTCAAAACGAAAAATTGTATAGAATAAAAATTATAGACCTTAATATTTTCTATATAAATTGTATCTTTACAAATTATCGTAGGTTGATTTTTTTCCTCGCCAGGACGAAAACAAAAAAATATTTGAATAGTTCGGTACATCAAACAATTATAAAAGTATTTACGTTTACAGGGACAACTGATTATAATATATACAAAATAAATCATAAAAAGATTATAAAATATACTCTATAATATAAGTTTAAAAAAATGCATTTTATAAATAAGCATACTAAGGTGTCAATGAAAGTACTAGTTTTTCTTTACATAATTGACATTTAAATTAGAATGTTGCTGTCATCGATTTTTTTTTGTGATCTGGAAAAACTTTTCGATATTTCTGAACGACCTAAAACATGTTAAGTATAAATTAGTAATTTAGCAATCCGTTCTATATATTTTATTGCAATTTACTTGAAGTATAAATTGTTTTTGTGCTTCATTTTTCGTTAGTTTATCATTGAACTCCTCCATCAATTTCACACCCCTTTCAGCAGTGTCATTTACAACACGGATTGATTTAACTATTTTTTTCGCTTCTTGGTAATACTTATCACCTTCCCAATTCGAGGAGTCTAATTTCAAAAATTCTGTATCGATATTAAATCTTATAAAAAAATATCCCGAACTTTGTTCAAGCATATCTGTAAAAAACTCTTGTTTCAGAAACGTCTCCACATTATCTATTTTTAAAAAATATTTTTTTGGACCAAAATCGCTTTGATCTGATGGGTAAGTAGATAAATTATTTAAAATAATTTTTGCCATTTTATTTCGGGTTTCTAACGAAACTCTATTATCAAATATTGAAAAAACAATACATTCTTGATTAAAGTACCACAAATGATTTAAAAATTTTTTTAAACACGAATCTGCAATAATTTTATCATCATTTTTATATTCATATAGAGTCCTTATTAAGTGCATATCGTTTAGTGGCGCTTCACATGATTGGTCAGCCATAGACCACGGCCTTATATAAATTTTTATAATAAATGCACATATTCTGCATATTGCAGTCTCTTCCGACTTGGATAATTTGAATTCTTGTTGAAGTAAAAAAATTTTCAAACAATAAATGCCTTTAGCCATCCATCTTGCTTGATGATAAGCCCCAGGTTGCCTAATAATAATACCTCCTGGTGGTGATCCTCCTAGAATTATAATTACAAGCTCTAAAAACTCTTTATAGTCATTTCTAGGATGTTTTTTCAAAATCGCCTCCTGACAAAATAATAAAATGTTTTCGCGTTTAGGAGATACAATATTTTCCAAATTTTTATTTGTATTCCAAATGCTAATATTCTTAGTATTAATATTATTCCAAGTACTTTTAAATCTTTTAAATAGGGCAATATCTGGGCCTGATGATACATGAAGTTTCGTTTCAGCAATTGCAGTTTGGAGAAGCAACTCGTAAACATGGTGGCGGCATGCAAGATATAAAATATCCCTATCTAACTTTTGTTCTAAAAGTGTACAAGCCCCGTTTATACGCCCAGTATTCGATGCTGTTGTATCGAATACAAATGCTTGAACTTTGTCCAATAAAGACCACTTTGCAAGGTTATCATATACTGCAGATGATATTTCTAGCCCTGTTCCAGATGGTATTTGAGGGACACCAAGTAACTGCTCTAAATCAGGGCTAGTTATAATTACTGGTAGACGATCTACTTTGTCTTGACCAGTCAAATCGGGTAGTAATTTACCATCCCAGTGAACTACCACAAAATTAACTTTTTTGTTTAAAAAATCAGACTTTACCTTATCTGCGCTTTCCTTCCGAAAATGTTGCCGAATATTTTTAATGGATGTTCTATTTAAAATGTAATTATTTTGATCGATGGATAAACTATCAAGGCACGCAGATAGTATATGAACGGCATCACGGTCGCTAATTTTGCATTTGTCTAATGCAGCTGATAATCTAGGTGTAATTAACTGAATTGTGCCTCTATTTGTACCAGAAGGACCTGGTTGAGGTTCTTCTAAAATCAGGTTTTCATTGTTCAACTCCTCCGAACTTACTGACCTATCTGACAGTGTTTCAACTAAAACGATACCAATAAATAAAATTAAAAATCACGTGTATCTAATTTAAATATTTTAATTATGTTATATCTTAAATTACCTGAGAATAACTTTAAGGCTTCTGATTCATGTTTTCTTTTTTTATTCAATTCTTTTTCAATTTTTTTTTCTTTTCTTTTTTCTTTAGCATCAAGAACCATATCTACACCAAGCATACAACCGGGGCGTCCGGGGAGTCTCTGTGAGAGCAAAAATTTTCTATCTTCTGCAATACTTATTATATTTAGTGCATCTTGATGAGCAATATCGAAAAGATTATTTAGACTTTCTATATAATTTTTTTCTTTATTTTTTTGATGTTCGCTTCCATGGTTTTTACTTTTTTCCAGTGCCCTCCAAGCGTCATATTCCTTTTTCAACTTTTTTACACAGTGTGATTTATCTTTTGTTGGAATCCGTGCTTTTCTCCAAAAAATTAAACATTCCTCTATTACTAGTAGACAACTTTCAGACAACGTCATTTTGGCAAAACGCATGTTATAAAATAATACACGCATACAGTCACCTATGGAGGGTAATTTGCTGCCAAGAATTTGAATATTAGTTGGGCCAATTAAATAAATAAATTCTCGCGTCATTTTCAAATATCTCAAAAAAATTAATTAAGCTGAATAAATGAATAAATAAAAAACACTAAACAATACCAAAACGCATGAACCGCGGAACAAACGAGTAAAAAAAACAAGTTGTAAATAAAAGTGGCGAATGATTAGATAATAAATTGATCGTATTACTAAAGTAGCCAAACTTATCAAAATTTTCCAGTTATTGTGATCATTATCAAATAATGTAAAAGGTCTAAAGTGCAACAATGAACACAATAATCTTGCTTAGTGACAAAAAATTGGAAAATTTCAGCAATAAATAAACTAGATATTCACAACATGTTTAAATGTCAATTATGTAAAGAAATACTAGTACTTTCATTGACACCTTAGTATGCTTATTTATAAAATGCTTTTTTTTTAACTTATATTATAGAGTATATTTTATAATCTTTTTATGATTTATTTTGTATATATTATAATCAGTTGTCCCTGTAAACGTAAATACTTTTATAATTGTTTGATGTACCGAACTATTCAAATATTTTTTTGTTTTCGTCCTGGCGAGGAAAAAAATCAACCTACGATAATTTGTAAAGATACAATTTATATAGAAAATATTAAGGTCTATAATTTTTATTCTATACAATTTTTCGTTTTGAGCTTTTGTTGTTGAGATATTAGCCGAAAACTAAAAAACCACCCTATTCAGTGGATTTTCAACCCTCATTCGGCACCCGAAGGGGGTAAGTAAATCTTACGAAACTCAACAAAAATCATTATTATCTAAAAATAAACAAAATTAGCGGGTGCCGCTATGTTTTGTTCAATTTTTTTTTTTAGCCTTAGTAGATAAAGACCAGCCTACTATAGGTGTTAATATTGATTCAAAATCTGCGTATATAACAAATTCAACAGGAAATTGGTTTTGATAATTTTGAAATTTGAGGATATTTTTTGGGGCATTTGGAAGAACCGTTTTAACGGGCATATAATTATCGAGCTGGTGAGACATTAATTTAGATTCTGAATAAAAAAACAATAAGCAACCATCACATATATATTTATGAGATTTGTGTTTTGAAAGCTGTGCGGATACTAACCGCTCTAGGTTGGAAATACAACAGAAATGCCCGAAGGGTTTATCTTTTTGATCTAAAAATAATAAATTAAAATGTTTGTCACGTTTACATTCGGTTAATTTTTGAGACCCGCAATTTTCTCATTAACATAAGAGTATACATTTATACTTATGTTATTAGTTCTTTCAAATATTTTTATATCTGTGANATGCAAGAGACCCGCAATTTTCTCATTAACATAAGAGTATACATTTATACTTATGTTATTAGTTCTTTCAAATATTTTTATATCTGTGAGTGATATAGGTGAATTCAATCCTCTAGTGTTTAACACCGTGGTATAATGTGGATACGATATCATACTTCAAATATTGTACACATATTGTGTTAGAAACAAGCAGTATCAAATTTTAGTTTTTTACTTCAATTTTAACTATTGTTTATTAATATTTCTTTCATTATTTCCAAGTATAGTTTTAAAATAACGCATTCAAACATAGTTACAGTTTTATTGAATATTCATCAACGTGTAATATTTTTCTATAAATCCATACTTTATTATCATTTTAAAGTATACAATATTTATTTACATAAGCTTTATATCGTAACTCGAAGTTTGATCTTTTCGTCTGTTAGAAACAAGCTTCAGATTTTCGTCGAACCCTTTTGCCAAATCTTCTCGAATAAATTGAAACCTAGACGGTAGATAAACTTGAAAAGAGGGTTCGTCATCCAGTTTCACTTCAGCTACCGGTGTTTGAGTGGAATAGATTTTACGACGAATAGACCCAAAACCTTATATTGAACACCTACTTTAAGATCATATACACACATCCTGCGTTTATTTTACTTACCATTTAACCATTCTTTATTTACTACACTCATCTAAAAATCATTGATTTAATTATAACAAAAATCACAATAATAGGCAAACGTAAATAGTTATTAGTACCATTCAATTATCATATTAAAAATTAAATATCGTTGATAAAAATGATTGATAAGAAAATATATTTTAGTTGTTTTATAATAAATTTGAAAAATCTTTAAAAACTAACATTATTAAAAGTTATCATACCAATAACACTATACGTTTGTCCAGCACAACTGAAATTAAAATTGTGAAAAACTTACTTATTTCGACTATTGGTTGTTTTCAGAGTATATTTAACTCTAATTGTAAAACAATTTTTTCACTCAAGTTTTAACTATAACTTAACAGTTGACAAACAAAAGAAATATACTGAAATTACTCGAAAATCAGAGTTATTATTCTCACGTCATGACAATAAACTTATAATTCATAGAAGAGGGAGGAAGCGCTGATCTCGAAAATTATCGAGGGAAATGGTAATTTAAGTAATGTTAAATTGAGGCTGTAAAATATGTTATCAAAATATAAAATGAGGCCCTAAAATACGTTTTATCAAATTGCTTCATTGATAAGCATTACATACGCTCTCCTCTAACTATAATGTGATAAGAGGTAAATGAGGCGCCAACCAGAGTCGCTAAAATGAGTATATAAAGAGAGGCAGCCCCATATACACACATCATAAATGTATTTAAAAAAAAATTTTAATTTTTGTAAATAAGACTGCGTCGGCATACGATTATGACGAGAGCCGTATGCGATTCGCGAGCCGCAATTTGACCACCCCTGTTATATAAGCTTAAATTTAAGATATACATAAAAGTGTCAGTAGTTCCGGAATATTTTCAAAAATTAAGTTGAAAGAGTTCTACTTTCTATATGCATTTTTAAGTTTTGATCTCCCTGTATAATGGAAATATAATTTTAAAAAGTTATGGCAGTTTTAAGTAAAATAAATTGAAAAAATGTTGAAAATTAGTGATTTTTAAATTTATAATTTTTTGGAGATTTACCCCATTTACGGAGAACGAGGGAAATTTTTTTCAATTTTTGAGGGTAATGTCTTCGCCGATCTGAAGTAATGCCTTACGGCAGTTTCAGGGCGGTTCACATTAAGTCATTTGAAGGAAATAAAAAAAAAAAGAAGGGTTGTCTTCGACTAGATACGATTACCTTTTAGTGTATCGTTGAAAGAAATCGGTTCAGTAGAGTTGAGAAAAAGTGGTAACAGACACAAAAAAAAAACACATCACAGTAAAATTAATACCTTCTTCGCTTCGCATCGAAGCTAAAATTAAAATTTAGTAATGCAAGATTTTTTTTCGAGCGATTATTTTACAAGTAAAACATTGTAATAAAAAGAAAAGAGAGAGATATGAAGTGAGGGATGGTATGGAAATTGGAAGGAAATGAGTTATTGGATTCTTTCTTATCATCTTAATCCTACCTCTTACCCACTCTATCCTATTTCTTAATATTACATAAATATAGTGCGTGTCTTACGACTACACTTACCTTGATATCGAAATGGACTCGTAGATAGATTATGATTTGTGAAGTTCCTTGTTGACGTCGATATTTTAAGTTAAATAAAATAAATAAAAAGTTTTGGTATGAGGGGGAACATACTGAGTTTATTTCTATAATTTTTATTAATTATTTTAACAAATGTATAAATCTTATAATTAAAATTAACAAAAGTAACATGAAATTTAAATTATTCACTTTTAATATAAAAGTGTAAGAGTATGGGGGAATAATAAGTGAGAATGAAATTGAGAGTATGCTAGTGTATCTGATGTGCTAATTTTACTAGCCCTTTTATATTAAACTAGCTGGTAAGGTGATGAAGGCTGGTTTTTTTTAAGAATTTAACTATTTAATCCTGCTGTCTGTTCGGCGCCACAGATACGCTTATGGTATTTAAAAAGAATGACATTAATGTAAACATCGCTCCAAATGAACGATATATTTGTAAAAAGTAATAAAATAATTGTCGGTCAGAAAAGTATTTGAAATTGATAATTATTTATGTGGAAAGATTATTCTAGAAGTTTCTTGAATATTCTCGAAATTTCTATTTTGATTTAATACAACATAATGAACACAAGAGGGCCGTATTAAGAAAATTTTCGTTTCTATCTTACTCCGTTTTTAGCATATATATTATAAGTTTAAATCAACTTAAATAAACTACGATAATAAGTCTAATTAGTCTATACAATATAGTCTTCTGAAGTTTAGTTTAGTGCACTAAACAAATTATACATAGGTTAGATGAGGTACTGGTAAGGTAATAGGAAATAATACTTTACATTGTAATATTCTCCTTTGGAATATTACTAAAATCAATACCTCTTGTATTTTTAAGACCACAGAAAAGAATGTGCTAACACGATTACACAAATGGTATTAACTTTTGGGCAACTATAAAATAGACGTGAATCATTGTCTTTCATGCCGTCTTCCAGGCACCACTAAAGTACTAAAAAAAGGAAATTAAAATATAATAATTCTTTTGCGTTTTATGAAATATATGAAATGTGCCTATAAAAAGTATGACACATTCAAGACGCCCAATCCCCGTTTATGACTTTTGTAGTACATTATATAAAGGCTGAAGACACTGTTTTTCCAGTCAGTCAATCTTTCATTTTTCTTGTTCACTTCTCTCACTACAATGTCAAGTTAATCAATTCAAAATATAATTCCAAACATACTTGTGCGTATTCTTTTCTGCTATTTGTTTTTAGAATTAACTTTTACACTAAATTTAAAATATACATTTGTCAAAATAATTAACACTTTCTATAATAATAAATACGCTTCTGCTAACCAAGTTCGATTCTCATTTATTAACATACTTACTATAGTTTTAAATATATTCTTAACAACCATAAATCTACACTCAAGATTTAATCATCATCAGTGAATATCAGGTAAGAGTAGTTTTAATACACTAACTACACTAATAAAGTAATAACTAGAAACAAAGTACTTGTATCTATTATGTCTTTACAGATGATGTCATTATTATTCTTCTTTATTAATACCATCCCCATCAACTTTATTTTTAGTTATTACAACATGTGTTAAATATGGGAGAGTTTACCAGCTGACGCGAGTTAGTTGAAGTTAAAGTTTGAGTAAGAATTGTCTTCGTGTGGAAAACATCAATTTTTTTGGTAGGCCTCGCTAAAAGAGTTATGCTCTGGAACCTGCAAATTGTAAGGACAGCCTTGAATTTGAATTGTGTTTTAGAGTAGAATAAATAGATTCTCAAAATTAGATTAATACGAAAAAAAATTTCCAAGTAACCGATTTTCAAACAAATATTTGTACGTATCTACTACATTTTTATATTGACATTAAACACTACAAATGATACATTTTTCATGTACTATACATGAAAATAATATATTGTGTGTAAAAAAAAAATCCTTTGATAAATAATATTGTCTTTATTTCTTATTTTTTGTTTTATATTTCACCGATTTTAGAAGATTAGCTAGTTCAAGGTTGTTAATGTTACTTTTTGACTTTTTTTCAGGTGGCTCATTAACCTAGACAAGAAAAAAAATTAGTTTTTATGATAATACCATAAAAATAATACAATACTTTTTGATTGTCTATTAATTGACGTCTGTTGGCTTTCTCAGTTATAAAAGCTTCCATTCCTTTGGTTCTTTTGAATTTTGGATCTGCCGGATCAATATTAAATAGATGAGATGTGTATAAAGCTGAAAACCTATCATCTTTTACATCAACCTAGAAAAAAACAAATTATATATTTTTATATAAAATGTTAATTGATATATTAGTAAAATAGATTACATCAAAATCATCAATTGTTTCAATAGATTTATTTTTATTTTTTAATTTTCTTGATTTGTCTTGTATAATCTTCATATTAAAATGATGTTTATTGGAGGGTTCTTCATCCATTAATAATAAATCTAATTCAGCTTGTTTGTTGGTATCATAGGAATCATTTTCATCTCGTGACTCTCCATCATTTTCAGTCTTTTTTTCTTTTTTTAACTTTTGTTTCTCTCTTATTTTTTCTTTTTTCTTTTCCATCATTTTTTGGAATGGTGTTAAATTCTTTTTAGATTTTTCTTCAACTGTTTTCTGCACCTTTTCTTGAGTTCCTATACCCCAAGATATTTCTAATTCCATGTCTTTATTATTTTTCTTGTCTTCTTCTTCTTGAATATTTTGTAACAACTCTTTATATTTATCAATAGGATTTTTTTTTGGTCCATCATCATTGTCTTCATTAGTTTCATCATTTTCACTATCACTTTTTTCATCTTCTGAGCTGAACGCTACATATTTTTGTAGAGCGTTATCATCTATTTCAGTTTTTGGGTTTGTTTTAAGTTTACTAACTAATTCTTTACGTCTAGGATCAGTTTCATCCCATGTTAAGTTAACTTTTGCTTGTTGTAATGCTGTTGTAGTAAATAGATGAGGTTTATACTTAGCCAAATCAGGTAATTTATCACATACTTCTTTTGGTTCCTAAAAATTAAAAATTATGCAAATGCTATAATAAAACTGTTTTTTTCATTTAGTTCAGTGTATTAACAGGTTCATAAATTAAAAATAATTAGTATTAATAATTTTTATAAATATTATTTTATTCAAGATATAAGTTAATAGAGGTAGTTTTATAACTCCTTGGTCTAAAGTAATCTTTTGATATTTATATTATTAATTAAATTAAAAATTAAATCTTAATTCTTGATAAATTACTAAAGAATATTACAAAAATCATCATTTTTTTTATTTATAAAAATAAAATAAAAATTAACCACAAAAATTACTTCAAGGAAAAATAAACTAAAAAATTATGCTTTTTTTAATATTTAACTTCCATAATTTAATTTATACTTTTCTACACTATAAAATATATTTTACAACAAAAGTTTTTAAATATAAAAAAAATAAATAAGAATAGAATGTCTAATATGCTATCAACACTTTATTAGGAGTGTGATATTTTTGAAAAAGGTATAATGCCTAAAAAGAATTTTTTTATTTTAGTTTAATGAAAATATAATTGTATGATATTCATATATATTTTTCATTTAATGTTTAAACAACTACCATATTCTATATGACTCTATTTAATCATTTATTTACTTGATCAAATTTAATGTCTTCTGGAACAAACCGTAAATCTAAACGAGTAGCACTACTTTCATATTCAATACCATCACATTCAGTATATATTTTGTTTGCTGTTTCTACTGAGTCGCAATCAATAATAGCATAATAATATTTTAGTCTTGTCAGTTGATATTTACGCAATTTTTCCATATGGTATTTTTTACCTTCTTGATCTTCCTATAAAAAAAAACAACAAAATTTTATGGCTACCAAATAAATGTGATTTGTAATAATAATAATGTTACATCATCACTATTATCATCAGATGAACCAATATCAACTGGATTATCTGATACAAGTTCAGAAGGTCCTTTAACTTCTTCTTCTTCCATTCTTTTCATACCAAATTCAGATGGATATATCTATAAAACAATTCCAGATCTTTTCATGTATTCAAAAATATTTTTGCAATTAAAAATGGATTGATTTACAGTTACTGATTTAATAAAGCCATCAGTGGGAACAAATGAGTTTAAAAGTATCATTATATCAATAGCTTGTATTCTATCCCAATCCATATTGCATAATGCTAATCTTGATGTAGCATTTTCTATAATAATAGCATCTTTATCCAACTCACCCCATCCATGATCTACATTTTCTACACCTTTAATATAAAATTATACAATTATTGCTTTTATACATTTATTGTATTTCATCAACCAATATATATATATATTTTCATGTAAACTAGTATAGTACAAGATGGTGTATTTTCAATCTAATTAAATAAATGATTATTATAATATTTCTCAGATTGAATTATAGCAACACATAAGTGGTACACAAGAAATTTTGCATAAAAAAGTTAAAAATACTTTACTCATACAAATAAAACTTGACTTACTATCACTTTCTTCATCAGAAGTAGTATCATCATCAGATGAACTATCCGTCATTATAATTCCATCACCCCTCGCATAATCTATTGTGATATCTTTTAGTCGGTCCCTTACTTTTTTATCTATTTTTGAACTATGTTTTTCATCATCTTTATCTATATCTGTAATAGTTTTTTCCACTTCTGACGAAGATTCATTCAAATCTTTTTTTTTCATATAATTATCATCTACAACTCCTTGGTCATCATCTTCATCAGACATATGATAAAATTTTTTAAAATCATCCGTAGTTGATCTATGTAAAGGTCGTCCTCTTTTATCTATGGTATACTTGACTTTAAACTTTTCATCTTTGAATATAGATTGAAACCTTTTATCTATTTTAACTATTCGTTCTGATTTTGGTATTTTTTTAAATTTGGGATCTTTGTCAATCTTAGTCCAACGTTTATCATTGGAATCCATGTTTATAAAGAAACTAATGCAAAAACTGTAAGTTCTAGAATAATAAAGTAATTAATTAATAAACTACAGCTCATAAAATGTCAAATAACTGTAAATATACAAAGAATAATTAAATTTATGTTATTTAATATAATTACTCACTAGACTAAACTAGACCAATATTAATAATTGGACTTAAATTAAAAAGTTCATCACGACATAGGCACTAAATATTGGGTTGAGTTAAATAATACCTAAAATTTTATCAAGTAACCAAAATTTTAAATTTATACATTGATTAATTTTCATTAACATGTGATTTTAATCACATGCTGATAAGAAGACTATGATAACGGTAAAATGGTAATCATAGATTAAATACACATAGATAGGCCACAGCATTCAAACAATTGGCAACCGATTTTTTGTTAATTTATACCCATAGAGATAGCGCTACATATCCTCTCGAGAAATATTAAATATTTAATAATAACTGTTCAGTTTGTTGATATTCAAATAATAACCGCGATTATTGATGTACGGCTAACACAGTTAGCGCAAATTAAGATAAGAACCAGTTGTTACCAAGAGGCGAATGCTTATTTGATTAAAATGAAACTTTTCGTTTTAAATACGAATTCGATATAATGTGTGTTTTAGCTTTGATGCGAAACTGAGAAGACATTGGTTTTACTATGATGTGTTTTTTTTTTTTTTGTGACTGTTACCACTTTTTCTCAGCTCTCATCGAACCGATTTCTTTCAATGATGCGTCAAAAGATCACAAATCGTATCTAGTCGAAGACATTACCCTCCAAAATTGAAAAAAATTCCCTCGTTCCCCGTAAATGGGGGTAACCTCCAAAAAAATTACAAATTTAAAAATCGCTAATTTTCGAAAATTTTTTAATTTTTTTTTACTTAAAATTGCTATTACTTTTTTAAAAATAATCAAATCAATATAACTATTTTTTTATAGATGCTTGATATCTTTATCTATTATTTGGTATATATTTTTTTATAAATCTGACCCTTTACCTTTCCACAGGGGGGATTTAAAATGACAACTTTTTCAATTTAAGTTTTGAAAGTGTTCCGGAAGGTCTGACACTTTTATATATATCTTAAATTAAAGCTAATGTAATATACTTAATCATGAAAAAAAAAAATTTCGGACTTTATTTTATCTTCATGGTAAAAATGGCTACCGAATGCTATTTTTGTGTGAAAATTTTCGACTTTGTATTCTACATTTTTAACTTTATAATGCTATAACTTATTGAAAANTTACATTTTTAACTTTATAATACTATAACTTATTGAAAAGTGTATGGATCAACATAATTTTTTTATGAGAAATAATAATTTTTAATAATCCCTTTTTCATTCGATATACTTTATCTTAATCAGGATATTAATAAGGAACTATCAGTTTATGAAGCTTTTGAAATAATCCACCAATTTTTTAAAATTAAACACTATCTAAAGATTAGCATCGAGCGTTTTTTTTGATAGTGATTTTAATCACTGTGCCGCGACCTCCCTTGTATTGGGCTTTTTTTTTGTTAACTTTTATGACTGTTATCACCATAAAAACAAAATAAAGTCGATAATTTTCGAGGGAGGAGCACCTCCTCCCTCTTCTATGACTTAGAAGTTTATTGTTATGACGTGAAAATAAATACACTGATTTTCGAGTAATTTCAGTATATTTCTTTTGTTTATCAACTGTTAAGTCATAGTTAAAACTTAAGTGCAAAAATTGATTTACAATTAGAGTTAAATATACTTCGAAAACAACGAATAGTTGAAAAAAGTAAGTTTTTCAAAATTTTAATTTTAGTTGTGCTGGACAAACGTATACTGTTGGTATGATAACTTTTGATAATGTTAATAACGTTTAATGTTAGTTTTTAAAGATTTTTCAAATTTATTATAAAACAACTTAAATATATTTTCTTATCAATGACATTTTTATTTTTAATATGATAATTGAATGATACTAATAACTATTTACGTTAGCCTATTATTGTGATTTTTGTTACAATTAAATCAATGATTTTTAGATGAGTGTAGTTAATAAAGAATGGTTAAATGGTATGCAAAATAAACGCAGGAAGTGTGTATATGATCTTAAAGTAGGTGTTCAATATAAGGTTTTGGGTCTATTCGTCGTAAAATCGAAATATTCCACTCAAACACCGGTAGCTGAAGTAAAACTGGATGACGAACCCTCTTTTCAAGTTTATCTACCGTCTAGGTTTCAATTTACTCGAGAAGATTTGGCAAAAGGATTCGACGAAAATCTGAAGCTTGTTTCTAACAGACGAAAAGATCAAACTTCGAGTTACGATATAAAGTTTATGTAAATGAATATTGTATATTTTAAAATGATAATAATAAAGTATGGATTTATAGAAAAATATTACATGTTCTTGAATATTCAATAAAACTGTAACTATGTTTGAATGTGTTATTTTTAAAACTATACTTGATAAATAATGAAAGAAATATTAATAAACAATGGTAAAAATTAAATTAAAAAAAATTAAAATTTGATACAGCTCGTTTCTAACACAATATATGTACAATATTTGATGTATGATATAAAGTCTATGTAAATAAATATTATACACTTTAAAATACGATAAGTTGATATTTAGAAAAAATATTTGAAAATCCAACAAAATTACAATTATATTTGAATCCGTAAATCTGTACTTGTTAAAAAAAAATAAAAACGTTACTGGTATATTAATCGAACAATGGGTGAAAATAAATCAATATGAAAAATAATATTTAGAGAGTATTTTTGCTAACTCAGCGTCTGCAAAAGAAATATTAAATAGCAAAAATAAACAGTAATCACGTTAGTAAGTGTAAGTAAAATGTTAGTGTTTTTAACAAAAGTCACGTAAAATAATTTTAAATCCCAATGGACGTCTGAGAATGGTCATAACACGAAATTGTTTTACAAAAATGATCAACTCCAGGGAAGGGGATACTGTTGGTATGAAATTGCTGAGGTTTGCAAAAGTATACTCAATAAAACTGAAAATTCATTCTTCTCCAGACTTAATTTTCGTTCGTCTGTTAAATCGTTACCTTCAAGCCTTTTCAACACATCAAATATGAATTACTTGTGCTGTGTTTGCGGTAAAACTTTCAGTTTTCTGAAAGATCTGGAACGTCATGAATAATCTGTTCATAAACACAAATTATACAGCTGTACAGTTTGCGGCAAAAATTTTTCCAAAAAGAATAATGTGAGAAGACATCAACATCGGACTCACTTCTTGAAAGGTTTGTATCATGTATTATAATCATAACATGTTATGATCTAATGTCATACAACTCTATGTTTTATTTAAATATAAAAACATAATTTAATTAATAGGTGTGAATAAAGTATTGCAGTTACAATCTAAGAATTATGAAAAAATGTGTGAAAAATCGATTGGTGAGTAAAAATTTTATATAATTGTATTATAACTACTTTTACATTCTTATTTTTATTTAAGACACTGAGAGAAATATCATGAATCGTGGCGCATGTACGTCGGTAAACATTCATAGAAATTGTAAGCGTATATAAATAAAATAATATTTATTTTACATTTATTTATAAATTTCTGTAATTATTTAATTTAGATAATGAAAAGAACATAGTTAACTACGGAGCGAGTACCTCAAAAAATAGCAATAATAACTGTAAGTAAAAAAATTAATTTTACACAATTATGTTTATGTCATTATATTATAATTGGTACTATTACTATTTGTACAGTATTTGATATCGATACAAAGAAAGAAAATGAATTAAATGCTAACGATTTCTCTACTTCTCGGGATAGTGATGATGAACTCTGTAAGCNACGATTTCTCTACATCTCGGGATAGTGATGATGAACTCTGTAAGCATAGTTGTAAAAAATACTTTAAAAAGTATTTTAAATAATATTCAAATATTTAAAAAAAAATGTATTTCAAATACTAAGAATACAATTAAAAAATAATAATAATGTTTTTATTTTAACTAAGAGCAAAAGGTTCCACCTAAATAATTACCAAGAGGGTAATTTGAATCAAATATTGAGTACTCTTAAATTAAGAGAACTCATTTATTATTTTCGATATTTTTTGTTAGAGTTAATAAAATTAATTATTGGAGATTAATCAGTGAAAAAAAACCCAGCACAGAGGGGTCGCGGCACAGTGGTGACGTGGCATAGTTGGATCAAGTATTATGATATCTGACAGTGATTAAAAACACTATAAAAAAAAACGCTTCGATGCAAATCTTTAGATAGTGTTTAATTTTAAAAATTGGTGGATTATTCCAAAAGCTACATGATCTGCCATTTCTTTATTAATATCCTGATTAAAATAAAGTATGTCGAATGAAAAAGGGATTATCAAAAAATATTATTTCTCATAAAAAAATCATATTAATCCATACACTTTTACATAAAATCCATACACAAAAAAAAAAAACACACATCTTAGTAAAACCAATACCTACTCAGCTTCACATCGAAGCTAAAATAAATATTAGTACACGTGTAAAAACCTGTAAAGTATGTCTTATTGACAATAGAGTAAATCATTTGTACCTGCAATAGGCTATTGTAGGTTCAACTGATGTATTAAAAATAGATGTATACATAATATCATTTAGATAAGCACAATAATTATGTTATACTATAATGTAACATATAAAATAACAGAGAATTATTCTCAATTTTCATTTTGACTGAGTTTAATTTGCTTGCTGTGTTACGGTTAGCAAATTAAAAAAAAAAAGTATATTAATAGTACTGAATATTAAACAGTATTAAATACTAAATAATTGTATTTAAAATACTACTCAGATACTTTTTATTAAATGTATCATGAAAGATGAAATGGGAGGTAAAATTTTAAACAAATATATTGGGATATGCAGTAAAACATACATGATGCGGTGTGGTAAAGATGTGGGGAAAAAAATAAGGGGTTAAAAAAAAGGGTATTAAATGAGACAATAAGTGAAAATGATTATTTAAATTGTATAAGTTTTCACGATTTTAAAATTTTAACACGTATCCTTTGATAAATCACAACTATCACGTAAAAGTATATCGATTCTCGGACAATCATAATCTTCCATATTGATTACTGGTTTGTTCGTAAATTTTTCGAGAAACTTCTTTTTTTGCAAACCTTTAACGTAAAAATGTGTATACCGCTCACTGAGTTCAATCAGAATCGACTGCAGGTTGTCGTAGTCGACATCACCGTCCGTATGATTTAATTTATGTTTATTACAGCATAACCACCTATTCACCCTCGACGATTTGGTTGTCATATAGAAATTTATAGGCGTTTTATATACATAATGATCTAAACGGTCAAACGCGTACGCCGTCAGTTCTTTTACGATCAATTGACATCTGTAGTTTACGATACATTGGAAATCGACTACTAGTGACCCGTCCATTTTTTATGACTGTTAAAACTATACTAAATCTTTTTTGTGTATCCAGCTGCTTTTTTTTAAACCACACCATTTAACCAAATAGTTATCATTTTTACAACGTAAAATTTTTTCTATCAGAAACGTATCTGGAAAATTTATTTTTTTCAACTCCTCCCGGTAGAACGTTCCGTTAATTTGCGTACCGTCTTCATCTTTCAGCACATATACAACGGGCACTGTTTGTTTTATTTTATCTATGAAAAATATTTCATTAGACCAATTCTGTGTATATCCTTTAACGAAAGCGGCTTTATTTTTACTTATACGTACTGCATCATCAATATTCAATATTTTTCGTGTAATGTTAGAATAATTCGGTAAACGATAAAACCGTACGCTATCGGTTGTTTGGATGCTTGCGCTGGTGTTTGACGGATTGCCGAATGAATAGCATTATTATAATCATTTGTTATTTTTTGTAATATACTTAACCATTGATAAGATCTCGAAGCTGTAAATTTTTTCCATATGCGTTCTTGAAGCGTACGGTTAAAACGTTCGATTACGGATGCCTTCACTGCAGAATATGTAGGGAAATGATGAACACCTCTCTTTATTAGAAAAGTTTTCATCTCTTTATTGAAAAATTCTAAACCTCTGTCTGTCGTTAAATACTATGGACATCTATTACTATTACTAATTATTGATTTAAATGCTGCTTGTTACTGCTCTACCAGTTTTACTTTTTAATGGTACACACCATGCGTATTTTGTATACACGTCTATTACAGTGAGAATAAAAGTATAGTTTTTATTCTTGCTAGAATACTTTTTCATATCGACGAGATCCGCTTGCCACGTGTTGTCTTTGGTATAAGGTGTCACGATGCGTCTGGGAAATTTCTTTTTAGCTTGTGCATGTAATTCCTCTGCTATTTGGTCACTAACGGTTTTCATTCTATCAATCCGTTTTCTCTAAGTTCTTCTTCCAGGGATATTATTTTGTTATATACACCAGTATTACCTGCACGCTTTGACGCGTGTAGAATAGGCAGTCGCTGCACTAATTCGTTTATATCGTCCCAGTATATGTATTCTTTTTGTTTATTTATTACAGATAAAAACGGTAGTCCGTCACCAAACTTTTCGTTTTCGCTTGATTGCCGTCCGTTAAATAACTGTTTTATTATGTTTTTATATTTATATCCTTGATTCGTTTTCAATTTTCCGTTAATGTTTCTATGTACTCTAGTGTGTATGAGACAGTTTTTATACGTTAACATATCATCAGATGTAATCAAATCGACGTTGGGTATCTTTTTAAATAACAATTCGAGTAGTATCTAAATAGCGGGTTCTGGGGATCAATGAATGCCGCCACGGTAATTAGTGTCATACGTCATCAAAATGTAATAAATTAAGAGTATTAATGGGTAATTAAATAGTTAATTAAGGTCAATCGTAATTGTTAAAGATGTAAATCAAGTGTGTTATTGTTAAAATTGCGATAATAATGTGGGTTGGCGGAGGGTAGGTGGTCAGCTGACTCGGCGTTACGTCGTTGTCGGTGTTACGTAATATAATCGCCCTTAAGGTCAACACGTCACATACAATAATGTTAAAGACTCTGCCCCTGCCTACACCCTCCCACCACGGAGTTGTACGTCAAACGGTCGCGCGTTATATTGTGTCATCGCAACCGCCACCGCCGCCGCCGCCGTCGTCGTCGACGGGGTATAAGCCGTAGTCGTGTAATCCATAAAATACACCTCATTCGTCATCGAGATTCCAATGTCTAACAGATGTTTGGAAAGTTTGGTGTCGTGCAGCAGCAACATTGTCTGTTGACTACTAATCGGTTCTCAGTATTTGTTAATCTATTGTGCGTGTACGATGGATTATTTAAGTAATATATCGAATAAATTGATTTGTCTTGTTGAAAACGAACCGACAGATAGAGTTTTTAAACCATTCAGTAAATTATTGAAAAATTATCGAGATTTGCAATATTTTGCGGAACGTCTAGGAGATAAAGTCAACGGTACCGGTGGAGACTTTTTACACTACAAGGGTTGTGAATTATTGAATGTGGGAAAAAATTCGGACAATCCTGAATGTGCATGCTCAGTTGTGAAGCGAATATATTACGAACTTTTGGATTCAATTGAAACAATTGAAAAAACGGTGAATGCGAATCGCAGCGATAGTAACGCCTATTGGACCTTGAGACTTTAATCACAATGGCTACACCAAGGTGTAAATTCAATAAAATCAACGACTTGATCGATTCATCAATATATAGCATTTCACAAATGTCTCGTGTATACATTGGTCTGGATCCTGACGATTCATTTTGTCCAAAAGTAAAGTTGGTAAACTGTCATCAAGAACTTATTATCACTATCGATTTACTACATAGAATGTATTCAATGTGCGGATATATTTTATCGATAACGGAAAATTTAAACGGAATACTACTTTTGCAAGATGAAAACATTAAGGTGATTCTGACACAGTGGGTGCAAACTATTACCCGAAAAGATACATTACTGTTTCAGTCAAAACGAGATGACAACTGTATATTTTTGATGAATACATCTGAGTTTGCGCAATTGTACTTCTTTAAAGATATGTTATTTGAGAAAATACATCGACAATTGTTTCATATACGTCCGCGTATTTTACATGAAATAAAGGTTATACTTCAGTCTTCAATTGATCGTATGGTGGTTGAAAAGAAACCGATAATTTTTCCCCAAATTAAAACGCCGGATTTGTTATATTTCTATGAAATTTGTTGTACGGGATTTATGGCTAAATATCTAGAAAATATCTCGAAAACTATTTTCAATTATCCACACATGAAAGTATGTTAAAAAATATTTGATTTTTTCATCTTAACTCTAATACTTATAAAAATTTCAGCACTTGTATTACTTTTCCGATCTGGTAGAATTGGCTACAAATAGATCATTTTTAGGTGTAGATGCTTTGCCGATAATTGACAAGAAAGACCTTCTATGTGTGACTTTTCCAATCAAATTCAAGGATAATCGAAATAAAATAACATAAAAAACAACAAGTTTGCAAAATAACTATGTTTTTATTAATAAAAATTATATATTTATACATTTTTTTGTTTCTATACTATACTGTAAATTATACAATAATAAAAATATATTTGTATATACATTAGAGTTTTCGTACTTCACCCGTAAATGCGTTGTATTCCATTTGACAATCGTGAATAATTACACAATACAATGATGTTTTATCGGGAAACTGTTTAGAGCATTCGAAATCCAAACGTAGATCAACCGTTGAAGTCTTGACGGTATCGTTTTGTTTAGAACAATCGATCACAACTATGGGTCCACGTTTTTTGTAATTTATATAATCTAGTAGAGGGTACGGATCTTTACGACCGTAGTACATTGTTTGGAATTGAGTGTACGAGTTGTAGAAGGTTGTATACTTGTTGTTGTCGAAATCGGCGTTTTGGTTCTCGTATGGGTATTCGTCCGCATTCAGATACGCTTTGACGTTTCTCAATGAACAGTGATCGAAATCTCCAAGAACGTGTTCGTTCTCATTACCCATGGCAATAAGTAGATATCTGGGTTTTTCCACATTCGAATAGGTGCGCACCGACCACGTGTGATGAGTTGTCTGCGGTACCAATGGGTAAACGGCAACATCCCAGTGTTGAAATTCTAACGGGAGCCATTTCTTGCTGTCCAGAATACGCATAAGACCCAGTTCGGTTTTCACGCTGGGTTCAAAGTACTTTACCACCCATTTGATTTTCGATATTTTCACATTGATTTGTTTTATCAATGATGCAACTTGCGCTTTATCGTCTGTTGTTGTTGTCTGTGGAACAAATGTTACAACAGTGCTATCGGTACTCGATCTATTCAACACAAGTGTCTGAGTACAGTTTATCAGTGTTCGTCGGTATCGTTCGAAAAATCCCATGCACATAGACAATGGACATTGCGCCACAAAATCAGTCCCATCGATGAAATCGTTGTTGTGCAAGATTTGCGCATATTTCCATCCGGCAGGTTGCAATCGTCGAATGTCGTTGGGTGTGAGCGAACAATAACCCTTGATGGTTGTAGCCACTCCGACATATTTTATCTTGTCCACTTCTTTACCATTTACCTCAAATCTGATTTCGTCGAATAAGTGCATGAGAAAATTTTGCCCCATAACCATTTCACCGACTGTTCCAACTGGTGGTTTTTCCAGTTTTCCTTCGATTTGCAAATAACTTTCGCACGGTACGGTGAATTTCTCCTTGTTACGTACCTCGATGCGGATTTCATCGTTGTGTTCGTACGAGTTGTTGTAGCTCTGATGTTCTAGATAGTATTCACGTTTTACGCTGTCGTCTTGTTGACATTTTTCCAACACGTGTAAGTACTCGGCCATGATTGACTCGACAACCTAATGATTTTAAAAATTCAATATTTTCCTTTGTGAGTTGTTGCTGCTGCGATAGCGTCACACGATTGTTCCGTTGCTCCGTCGTAGAGTATATGCCATCACCCAAATGATGGTGCACTACACTCTTGTTGAAACTCAGAGGCATTTAAAGAGTGTCAACACGTTTTTCCAATATAAAGACACGGTCATCGACTGAATAAAGTTCTCGAGCCAGTGCTTCCAAACGATAAATTGTAGCTGAACTGTTGTTGTTGTTGTTGTTATTGTCACTGTTTATCAGCTGACAGCTATTGTCGGATGTTTGAAGGAGCAGTAATAGTTGCACGAATGTGACTAGTATGCACAAAAATAATCCAATATGTGAGGAATCAATTTGTTTTATACGGTCCCATAACGTCATCGTACTTTCATCCATCTTGTTTGATGTGTAGACGTACTGTTAATTTTTCACCTCTTAAGTTGACACGTTGACCGTCTTGATCGAGCAATGTGATTCGAATCGTATTCAATACGTTTGTGTTTAATGGATAGTAAACGACTTGTCTGGGACATTCGATAATACGGTAACCCGGTGGTACGTTTGGAAAGAATTCATGCAATGTATGCGATTGACGTCCTTCGTGGTACGAGCCAACAATTATATTGCAGTCAACTCGTATGCATGTCACCTTTGTAATAGATAACGGAAAATCCGACGTGTGTTCCATTTTCGGTGCCAATACACGAGGTCGGAATCCCAGCATTCCACCGATTGATTGTGGGTGTGTAAAATCTATGGCGTGATCGCATTTGATTATACTTCGCATAGTGTTGCGATCGGCTGTGAAAGAAATAACGTTTCGATCACCCAACTCTTTGTCACCGATTTCACTGCTGTTTTCCTTGAGCAAACCAACCGTTGGCAACAATGGATCATCAAAATCTAATTGTTTTTGCATACTGTACTTGTATTCTTCTCCATTGTACTTGTCGGTAATTCGTTTCTGTAAATCGTCAAATTCGTACGATCCCGTCGGTAGTGTTATCACCATAATTGGTTTGTCAACAGTGCCGAAAATGAATTTGTTACAATCCTCATCAATATTCGGTATCGTGTTCCACGTATGCTAGCTCAATAGTCCAATTTTACATTTGTCACATTTGACGGGTGGATTAAATGTGCATTGCAATTCAGATCCCACGCCGATTAACGTCACCGTTGTTGCCATGTTGTTGTTGTTCAATTAAAAATTCCAAACACAAGTGACCACAATTTACCTCGTTGAAATTTTGATATCTACTATAATTGTGCACGATTGTGCATCCTTTAAAGTATCGTTGCAGCTCCAACGGTGGTCGTAAATTACCAAAACTGTCAAAATACGTAATGCGTTTACCACGTTTACTATATGCTACCCAATGAGTGCCAGGGTTAGTGGAAAGGTCCAAGTTCACTACACCCATTTCGATTGTTTTCGGTCCCGACTGAGGTAACTTGTCACGACAGAACACGCCACGAAACACTTTACGATCGAACGCTCGACTACCGAAATTTGCAATTTCAACATCGTACAAGGCACGATCGGGTAGCTGTGAAATTAGTTTTTTGTTTTTTTCTTATGATTTTTTCGAGACGTCTTTTTCTTAGTTTTCGTACTCGCCGTCAATTTGAAACCAGACCCCGATTTGTATGGTTGCAGGTAAAATCCTTTACCTATGCTTATCGCTGTATTGCCTTTACGGTTAATTTCGGTAGCCATCTTGACCACATTTGCAGCACCGCCGGCTAAAGCTCCCAACGCCGACAGTCCGGCAAATATAGGTATAAGCGGTAGTACACCGCCTTTAGTTTTCGGAACGTTTATGGTACGGGGCAGTGGAATTTTTTTCTTTCTCACCACACGCCGTGCTGCCATCAATGATCGTTTTGCCACACTCAATAAATCCATTTGTTGAGCATTTTTATCAAGTTTGGCCGCACGCACGATTCGTTTAAAACCCATACCGAGTTTACGTTTCAATTTCATTGCGTTGGTCACACTCCAAGCTGCGACTCGTTCAGGCAATTTAGCGTCTTTGGCCAACACTCGTTCCCAAGCCCGATGTTCCAACACCTTATCCGCTTTATGACGGTCCTCGAGATTCTTGTATTTACTATAAATGATATCGTGATTGCGGCAAGCAGCATCAAGCGGGTTCACTCCAACGTCACCTCGCTTTAATCTCTTTTCTAAACGTGTTACAGGGCCCGCAAATTGATAACCTAAATGGTAAACATTTAAAATAATGATAAAACTATTTACAAAGAATAATTTTGAATAATTACACACACACACAGACACATACACACCTGGAATGTGGGCTTCGAATGGTAATTTGTTGATTACACTGTTCAATATCCCTGCACCTTGTTTTCCACGTTGTCTCTGTTTAACCATTATTTTCATATTGACGGTAATGGTTCGATGACGTGCGATGCGTTTCAAAAAACAGACCCTCACGCTACCTATCGTGAATTTTGAAAAAAGTAGTGATATTGCATCCAGTAAACACGGTAAACTATTGCCAAACACAATACGTGCATTGATTTGCGGACCGTCAAATTGTGGAAAAACAAACTTGATGTTTACCCTACTGACCGATATCAACGGACTTCGATTTGAAAATGTATACGTTTACTCAAAATCGTTGCATCAGTGCAAGTATCAACTACTCGTGGAAGTTTTACGTGGTGTCCAAGGAGTGCAGTTGTTTACCTATGAAAACGGGGAAGATGTACCGTCGGTGGATAACATCCTGCCCAATTCTGTTTTTATATTCGACGATGTTGTTATGGAAAAACAAAATGTAATGTGTGATTATTTCGCGCGTGGACGTCACCGTCGAGTTGACGTGTTTTTTCTCTCACAAACATTATCACGCATACAAAAACAAATGTTACGTGACAACACAAATTTGGTGGTGTTGTTCCGACAGGATGAAGTTAATCTACGGCACGCGTACGATGAATACGTGTGTTGCGATATGAAATTCGGCGAATTCAAAGAGTTTTGCAAACATTGTTGGAACAAAGACCGGTATGGATTTGCAGTGATTTGTTTAGACTTCGTGCGTGACGGTGGCCGGTATAGATACAAGATTGACACATTTGTGACGATATGAGTACTATTAATAATAGAATTCGTGAAGAAAAAAAAAACGTTGTTGAAATTATTGACGGAAGCCCGGGAAAATGTTCGAAAAAAGTACACGGAATTGCATCGCGGTGAAGCGGATTCATTGAGTCGCGTAAAACGAGAATTGGCACCAATCATTGCACCATTGGATAAAATCGTGACACAGCAACAGCAACAGCAACAGCAGCAGCAACAACAACATGAACAACAACTACAGCAATCCATCAAAAGTTTAAATGATGATAGATACAATATGGAACATGATGATGGGTTTTTCCATCAGTACATGCACCAATGGTCAATGAACCCGAACAGAGACAAAATGTATGGACCAAAAGTGACACCAGAAGGAACATTGACAATAGGTGGAGTCGACAATATCTTTGTCAATGGAGGAATAATCAACGTACTGGAGAAAAAAATCCTGCTGACATTAGTTCTTGTGGACTTACTTTTTTCGAAAAATCCCGGTGTTTACTCCGAATCGGATTTGCAGGCATACAAAACAATTTTACTCGAAACCGGTGTACATTTGAATAAAGACGGAACATTAAAAAAAGGAGGTCAAAAATATGTTAACACTATTAAACCATTGTTTGAAAACAATGATGGTGGTAGCGCAAACAATTCCTTACCATTATTTGAAAACAGCAGCATCAGTGACACATCTATTATCGGTGCGGGTCTACAGTTAAGGTTGAACAACAAGAAAAAAGAGTATGTGTACTGGGACGAACCCAACGAGCTCGTAGATCGTTTACGTTTATTGATATCGNCAACGAGCTCGTAGATCGTTGATCTTTTATTTTAGAGATTATAACGTGCATCGATGGATTTTCAAAATATGCGTGGGCCATTCCGTTGAAAAATAAAACAGCCAAAGAAGTTACTGCTGCCATGAATGGAATATTAAAACAAGGTCGTCATCCTAAACTTTTGCAAACGGACAATGGTAAAGAATTCTACAACAAACAGTTTCAAAAACTGATGTCACAATATGCAATCAATCACTATTCAACTTATTCCACTATGAAAGCCTGTCTCGTGGAACGTTTTAACCGCACGTTGAAAAACGCAATGTGGTGCGATTTTAGTGCACGTGGTTCGTACAAGTGGGTGAATCGGTTGCCTACGCTGTTGCACGAATACAATAACGTGCGTAAACATAGAACAATCGGAATGATACCGGTGCAAGCTGTGCAAAACCCCGACCTGGTTCGACTCAAGTTACGCAAAATACCCGATAATTTACCGATAAAATTCCACGTGGGTGACAAAGTTCGGATTAGTGTACATAAATCAGTGTTTGACAAGGGTTATTTGCCGAACTGGAGCACCGAACTATTTACCATAGTCAAGGTTAGACAATCAGTACCACCAACTTACTATCTAGAAGACTATCAGGGAAATCCAATACGTGGTGTGTTTTACACCGAAGAGCTGAACAAGACCAGTTATCCGGACATGTATTTAGTCGAACGAGTGTTGCGAACACAAGGAGATCAGTGTTACGTTAAATGGTTAGGATTTGGCCCAGAACACAATTCATGGATACCGAAAACCAATATCTTACCTCAATGATTGTCGATATACAAGGTATTGTAGCAGCTGACCGATCGTTTTTGGTCAAGGAACTGACTGCTATTGCCATAGACTGCACTTCTTTCGCCCATTGGATGTTCAAACATCCAAAAAGTATCAAGGAGGATGCTAAAACAAACTTTTGGTTGAAAAAATACCTACATGGAATGGATACACGTTGCGGGGATGTGGAATACAATGAGTTGCCGAGAATAATGAAACTCTTGCGATGCGAAACCATTTACGTGAAGGGAGCTGTAAAAAAGCAAGTAGTGGAAAAGTACATACCAGGACAACGTATAGTCAACGTAGAGGATTTGGACTGTCCTCCTCTGTACAATTTAAGTTGTATTACAAAACCATGTTGTATCCGACACATGAACAACCCAAATATGTGCAGTTTATATAAGACTATATGTTTAAAACAATGGATGAATTATAACATGTAACGCTATTGTATTAAAAAATATATATATTTATATAAACACGAATACTTTATAATATTCATTTTTATTTCTACAATAAGTATATTTTTCATAAATAAATTATAAATTAAAGATTATATAATAAATTGACATATATTGTTAATAAAATACTAAATACAATAATATATTTTATACAAAATAAATTGTTATGTATTTAAAGAATAATGTCCCCACGCTTTTGTATATACATTTTTATACTCAAACTCGTCACCGACTATTGCACGCTTGTCATAGTTGTTGGACAATGCGAGTTTCCTCGTTTCTACCGTCAAAACATTGTGATGTTTTGAACGTATGATGGAAATTTTCTTGTGAATTTGTTTTAGTTTATTTCGCAAACAATTTAAATAGTCAACCATATTTATTTCATGTTTAACTACACCCACACTAATACCCTTCAATCGCTTCACTTCTTCTTGCCGCAAAACGTTTTTATAATTTTTGTAGGCAATCAGGTACGCATAGACTTTGGGCAAGAGTGCAACAATTTCCTCCATATGCATACCTTTACATTCGTCGGTAAATGTACCCCGTTGTTTTTTAAATTTATCACTGTAACATGGATGATCAGTGGGATAGTTGGAAGTGTCGAAGTATTCAAACAGATATTTTTTCAAATCATCCTGAAAACTATGCGTTAATATTAAATAAATAAAACTGTCTGTATCCATATACACGAGTCTANTTGTCTGTATCCATACACGAGTCTAAGTCTTTCAGGACCATAAAATGGTTGCATTACATCATAATGAAACTTGTACATGATACATTTACTAATATCCAACACGGCCTGTCCAATAAAAATGGGTTTAAAAAAATTAATTTTTTCTTAATACATGTGTACAGCTACAAGATTTTCATTAAATATTGTGGTGTGACCAAACGACGGTTCGCTACCAGTTTTGATAATTTATCTTCGTTACAAACGAGTTGAATATTTTGATGTTTTCTCACGTTCTCCAATGTTTTACCTAGTAAAATAAAAAATTTTTTTTATTAAAAAAATTAAACGTATAAAAATATTAGTATTACCATAGTTGGAGTTGATCATATATTTTGGTAGATCTTGTTCAAACTTGTTGGAGGCTTTTTTACGTAATTCTGTATTCATTTGGATGTAGGGTGCCAACCATCGAGATTGTTTAAACTTTATGACTTTATGCAGTTTTGTGATAACCACACCATGTTTTACCGCTTGCTTTAATGTTCGATAGTGTACAACGTAATTACGTTTTGGAAACAACGTGGTCATCAGTTTGTTGTATTTGGCAGACGGTTGAGGTGGACGCTCGTTTACAGGAAAAAATGGTAAATCGTTGTGTAAATCATGTAAATGTTGTGGATAATCTACATCGACTTGCACAAAATATCCATGATCAGCATCCTCAGCTGTGTCAAGTATTTCCTCCAATGTAACAGTTGACCATTCAAAATTACCAAGTGGCATCGGTTCCATCATTGCTTAAAAAAACAAATGTTTTTTTACACAAATATTAATTTTTTTTATTTTAAAAAAAAAACTACCTGTTCCATATAAATTTGTAGCATCTAGGTATTGAAGATATTTATGTGGAATATTGGGATTGTAGTCAGAGATACCTGGATGATTTGCTCGAGCATACCGCTGATTGACCTATATTAAATATATATATATATATATGTGTATATATTTATAAATATTATTAAACATATTTTTATATTTTTAATAATCACACATACTTGTGTCAAACCTCCACGTATACCCAATTCAAACATTAATAACATATCTGGGTCTGTTATCAATTCAATGTTGACATCAGTATATTTTAACATAACATCAAATGATAGGGCTGGACATGAGTAATAATGAGTGGGATCCAGAGAATAATTTTTCAAACTCTCCGCGCGAAACTTTTCAAATATGTCAGCAAGTACCTAAAAAATAAATGTATTTATAATTGTTAANATCAGCAAGTACCTAAAAAATGAATGTATTTATAATTGTTAATTACTAAAAAAATTAACAACATACCATAACGTCGAAAAGTAAATACTTGTCACTGTAATCACCAATAGTTTTGCATTCAAAGTGTTGCCACATTTTTTTTGCATGTACATAGTCCTCTTCGGATACTGTAGTTTTCGTAATGGAACTGTAAAAATTTTCGCGGGTTGGCAACTGGTTTTCGTCGAGTTTTTCCCAACTGTCTACGTATTCGTATGGGAAAACCGATTTCCGTGTGACCAACTCCAACGATTTAAAGACATTTAATGTATGTGCAAAATCAGGTAAAGTCAAGGTGGTTGTAAGTTGATACAAACTCGCTTGCAAAAATCGANAGTGGTTGTAAGTTGATACAAATTCGCTTGCAAAAATCGATATGAATCTATAAATCGAAGTTGAAAATAATCGCTTATTGTCTTACTGAACGAAATATATTTTTCTTCGGATTGTGCTATAACAGTAATGTCTTTATTGTCGTAAGCCATTTCTGGTATTATCATGTGCGAGTCATAGTTTGAAAGACCATGCATGATAACTGGTATGAATGCGGAATATCGTCGTTGTAAATTACATTTGTGGCATAAAACAGCTCGAAATTTTGCCGTCCAATGATTATGATCCTTGACTTTTACTAACTTATCGGTAAACTCTATTAAACACGAGTCGCAATGTTTTGTGGTATTGAAACGATGTTGTTCCTCAGAAGTTAGAGGATTCATCTCGATGTTAATTTTCATGATATCTGATACTTGTTTTCCAGTATCTACCAACGCTGATACAAAATGTTTAGCAGCATCAGGTCCTCGATACATTACTGGTTCCTCCGGTAATCCCTGACACATGTTTTGCGGTAATATTTTGGAGTTGCGTACTAAGTAAAAACAATAACTCATTGGTTTATGTTTTTGTACAATCATAGACNAGTTTATATTTTTGTATAATCATAGACTTGTCCGATATTTGTTCAATCGTTCGAACAAGTAAACTTTCCATATCAGCGTAGATAACTAACGGTATTGCTTCTTCTCGTCTTGTGTTTTTAAAACATAATATTGAAAGATCAGAGTTAGGCTGTGGTAGAACAATGCGAGCCTCCTTGAATTTTCCACACATTTTTACATGTTCTTTAAGTCCCTCTTTCCCACTCGCACGAGTTAATAACGGTTGCTCGTTAAATACGCTGAGACATCGTTTACAATGATATTCTTGTCGTTTACTTTTTGAGTGTTGTTTTGATACAAGCCTTGAAAATTTTGAGATGTAACAATAGTGGTTAGTTTCATTATTTTTCAAATATAGTAAATCAATATGATCTGTAGCGGTTTTGGATTTAGTTACACGCAATGGAAAAACAATGTTTTTATTGTCCAACGCATACACATTTACCGATATTGTAGGATTTTTTCGTTCGAAGCGATTAATTTGTTCAATTGGNAGATTTTTTTGTTCGAAGCGATTAATTTGTTCAATTGGTGTTGGAAAATCAATACCGAAAAAATCTATGTTCAAACGTTGTTCTAATTCAACATATGCAACATTCCAATCACTTCTTTTAACTCTTTTATTGTAATGACATAAGATTGACCATTTGAAACATTGTTGATCATCGTTTTTAATATTTACAACAGCCTTTTTGTTTTTTATACACGATGGTAATTCAATATACGATGATCCCTTCAGTGGGTTCAATTTATGTACTCTCAACAAAATACCATCAATTGATATTAGCGACCATCCACTTTGCTTGATTTCCATTTCTTGTTTTTCAGTTTCCAACTTTAATGTTATTTTTTCCATTACTGATGTAAAATCGGTTCCTAAGTCTACTGTTTTATTGCGCGACTTGAATGATACATCTTTGAACTCACCAGTTACAGTATGAAAGTACGTTGTATGTAGTAAAACATTGAATTTTACCATACCCTTTACAGTTAACATTTTTAATAAATTTATTATTTCGTGATTTATTTCAACCATGAAATCGACAATGTCATCAAC